TCTACGTTAAATGGAAAGGAAAGGCAATACGGTAAAATGAGTGGAAGGTAAGATAAAAAGTGGCAGCCAATCAGGTGTTTGCTGCCGTCGTGACATTACGGTAGATTGCAACAGCATTTTAGTGTTGCTATTGCGCTTTGGCCGAAAACTGCTCGCTTGTTAATTATAAGCATAATAAGGACAGCAATCGTTGTAATGATAATAGTAATCATAATGATTATCACTGCTTTGATTATGAATATACTCATATTTCAGTTGAAAAACGTAAAAATGAATTCATTCGATTCGGATGATTCCGTGTCGCTGCAGGCGTGAATCGTCGGCTTCGAAGAAATAAATGGATGGAAAACGTTTAATATTCTAATAAGTTCTTAGATAAATTCAATTGTGATATGGTCTTATAGAATTGTCTTTATGTGGTCAATGCATTTAAATCCGCATTAATTATTGCATCAGTCTGTTCGTAACCCCATTTGAACTTCTGTTTAATATCATTATATTTTTCATCCATTGAATAATAACAATGGAAATACTGAAATGATGTGCATTGATAACATCAGTTAGATGACGACTCCTCTCATTTATTTATTTATCGACTCTCTTGAATCTTAATACATGCAGAATCATACTTCGTTAAGTGAATCAATCCTATTTTATAAACTGATGCAGTCGAAGTAAATTCAAGTCTAGGTTCGATCATCATCATCATCATCGTCATTTTAAGAATGTTACTTGTTCTATAATCGATCATCATAGCAATCTCAATGAAATTAATAAATGTCTAAGTTGTGTTATATTTGTATTCACATCACGAATGATGCATTCTAGCATTCTTCGGCATCAATTTTTCGTTTCTTTGCTGAGTTAACGACGTGCTAGCTGTGCACGAAGTGATTCAACTGTTGCGATGAATTTGATGATAACCAGAGAGACTAATCTTGTTTCTTGCTTGATGGAACAATACGAGTGATTAAAAACATATTTCAGCACTTTGTTTGTGATGCTGATGATAATAAGGCGGCTTGCGACAATAACCACTGATTACTTTTTATCACACAATGTTTCCATTGCACATCCGTTCATTCACATCAATATAAATAAATGCACACACGTTTACATGAAAATAATAGCATGAGTTGTTGATAGGAGTGAAGTCATTCTCGTTTAGATGTCACAAACACTAACCGGTTCAAAGTATGCTACTGGCAGTAATACGTATAAGTGTTTGCGGATTAAAATATGATGAATGATAAATTCTAAGTGGAAAAATTTCATCCGATTCTATGAATACAAGTAAATTTGCATTCAGTACATCCAAAATTTTCGATGCAGCAAAAGGATTCCTATCAAAAATCAAAAAAAACTCATTATTTCTCGTTTGCTCTATCGCTCTGTCAACATTACCCACTCATTCATCTATCACTATGAAATATATTACTTACACTTTTAATGTTTTAGGAACCAGCTCTCATTTTGTCAGTGATCTGAAGTTGAAGCCAATTACCATACAAACAGGAAATATCATCGTGACAACAGACAATCAGAAGTGATCCGAATAATTGTCCGAATCCAATCCAATCATCCAATGGATATCATGTTTGGACTACATTTTCACGCTTCTTCTGCCTCTCCCTCCCAAATAATTTGCATACCTACATGCATACACAAGTGCTTTGCTCCAGCAATAACAAACGCCAAAGACAATAACAATAATCTTTTCATTTTGAATTTTTTCATACATACAAGCATAGAAATGATACTAATTGTAAATACAGAGAAGCAGTTCAGATGAGCAGATGGATAATCATTTGACATCATCACTGCTAACTATATTCATCAATGCCATTTGTTAGCAGAATTTTTATCGAAATAAAAATTTGATTTGTTCATCACTTTACATATCTACAAACAAGTGCGGATACCATATTCAATTCAAGATAATTCGATTCGTTTCATCACTTCAACGAATCAAAATCCAAGTCTCCAGCTGAACTCTGCTTCGTCTCCCCTCCCCAACTTCTCATTCATTTCGTGGCAGTCAGTCAGTCAGTTAGTCATTCAGTCACTCAGTCAACACCAACCAGTCATCCAATATATCCACCCATCTTCCCTCTTATCTTTCACTTCATAATCCAACCGATCGACCGACCGATCGTCCAAGAGAACGTCCGCTTTGTTCAAAACTGATCATTCGAATCATCTAAGTTCTAGCCACCACCGCTAGTCAGTCGGATATATCTGCCTTTCGAAAGCATCTGTTGGATAGTCTTTCTCATTCCCTTGTCCTCCTCACTGTTTTAAGAGCATTGTCGCATATTTCTGCTCTTATTAGTCACATTAATTATGCATCAGCGAATCGCAATTATTATTCTTCTCGTATTCGTTTCGTCCAGTCTCACACAAAAAACATTTGATCGTAAGCGATTTTTTCATTTCATTCATTTCAAATTTGTACAAAAAACGACTTGAATGTCTTTGGTCCATGTGGAACTGGAACGAGAGAGCTGCTGAATTTCTATTATTCACTTGAAAATAAAATAGAACATTTTCAAACAAATTTTCAGGCGTCGTCAAAACTTTTCCTGACTCAAAATCAAGTTTTCCCGCAAAATATTTCAGCGTTTCAATCGAATTTTCAATCTTGATCATTGTTCTTCAAAAGTGATCTCCCGTAATTAATTGTTCTATAGAGCGTTGCAGGTCAAACTGTAGAACTTCTTATTGATCTAACGAGTGGTTTACAATAATCTCAGTTTTGAAAAAATTCTCTTCATTTCAAATTACAGTTTTCGAGAAGTTGATTGTGCTCCCATTCAGCTTTAGTCAATTTGAAAACACATATTAGTGATCACTTTTTTATGCTATTCGAATTTCAGTGTGCCTCATCTCAGATCTTCAAGTCTACTACAATGATTCTGCTAGTAAGAAGTCTTTTCTGATGATTATGATTTGAAGAATGATAAATTTTTTATTTCAGAAAATAAGGGAACGCCTGAATTGATAGATCCGTCTGCGTATGCAAGTGATGGTGACGTATTAGCCAGAGTTCAGAGACAACTTCTTGGTGCAATGGCGATGTTGGACGCTCTGCAAGATGGTCAGTGTGACCATGAATATGTTCTTAGATTCACAGTTTTCAGATAGATTCATTGAATTCCTGCACAAAGCTTCATTATTCAGAAAATTTTGATCTCGTGAAAGTTTCATTCTGAAATGCATTTTTTTGATGATAACCTTTCGAGATAATTCCCAAAATTCAGGTGTCACAAAGCTCCCAGAGAAGAGACGTAACAAGTTCGAATTCATCCGTTTCGGACGACGATAGGGCAATTTCTATTCGAATCGAGCGAAGCGAACTGAGAGCAAGAGATCAACTAAAAGCAATCTCATCGACCCCTCCCTTCTCGACCCCAATCCCCTCCCGTTCGCCTCTTTTTCCGACCTTGGTAGATTCTTGTTTTCTGCAAAAATCAATTTTTCTGTTATTTTTACCAACCTTCTGTAATTTTATCTTTTTTTTTCAGAGGCGTTTCCCGATTTGTGCAATGCATTAACTCCCGACCCTTTTCCCATCTCTCTTATATTCGATCATTCATTCATTTATTCTCTACTTATTTATTCCTATGACGGCTGCTGTAAAGTACATCGATGTTTACCATCATTCATAATACAAAATATTCACTAAGTTGTAAACTCTTTGAATAAACCATCCATTGTGTTATTTGCTTTTTTAACTACACGTATTTCTATTCAATCATATATTTGAAATTTAGAGAAAGATTGAAATGCATTATTATTCTAATGGAAAATAACTATCTTTTAAAGCAAAATAGTTAGATTAAACGAAAACTCCGTCTGTGGGGCGCTTAGTCGCTTTTTTTTCGAATGGACTGTTCAACTGATCTGAGGATGTGTAGGACTCGCGTAGACAAATTCAGAATGCTCAGAATATGACTTTGAACTCAAATACATGAATGAGTGCTCAAGTGGTCAATTACAAGCGATCAGTAGATCAATTAACTTCGATTGGTTGAAAAAAAAGATCAATTTAGAGTAAATCACATTGTAGTGAAGAAAGTTGTATATAAGAAATTGATCACTTTTAAATTGTCAAAGTTTTGTCGATTTTGTTGCGTCCATTTATTTTCATTGCTGCATGAACTTTCGATGAATTCAAAATTCAAATCTATTAACAATGTGGTATTGAGGAGCATTTTTGTGGATTTTTCGACTGATCGCTAGCAAAGTTTCCTCAGCTCGATTCCAACGCATCACGTGAAAAATATTCGCCAATCAATTTCATCATTATCGGTTGAACTCGACGATTTTGAGTCTTCTTCGGAGTCCTCATCCGTCAGATTCTTTTCATGATACATACGTGACTCACAGAACAGATCCGCATCCAGTCGTTTCACCTCACTGTTCAATTCAGTATTCAGTCGTGTCTCTCGTAGTCCTACCAGCCGAACAGTCTCAGCAAATAGCTTCTTGCCCAATTCCACATCGTCGGCTAACGGTGAACATTTCGTCGGGCAGCAATTCGAAAAGTAGCAACCGTTGTATTGTTCAACGCCTTTCTGCACGCATAACATCAACGTTGTTTGAGCACCCTCTTGGGTGGTCTGCAATCAGAAAGTTTCTTTCTTGATTGATCATCATGTTCGTCACTCACTGACTATTGTTAGTCAACTGATTATTTGAAGAATGCAATTATGGTTGTGAAAGCGATCATTCAATTCCAATAGAAAGCGATCAGATTTGATATTGTAATAATGAACAATAATAAGCGCAAAAATTCCTCTGAAGTGATCAAACCTTTGCAATAAATTTATTCACAATCATTGCGAATGGACACATCAAATCACCGAGACGACGTCCGAAAAATTTACGTATAAAATATTTGCTGAGTTGGGTAGCCAAAATACCTGGGTTGCACGAGAAGAATGCCGCATCTGAAAGAAATGAACGCATCACTTGTTCGTGCTTAATGCAAATTGATGATAATAATGATCAAAAAATGTTTCTTTTACACTCCGAACTATGAAGATAATGAGAAAGAATGGAAAAATAAATGAGCGGTGAGGAGTCAAAACAATTCGGAATCGCAAAGCCTTTTAGCAGGTTGTTGACGAAAAATCAAAACGTTCTTCGATAATTTCGCTGCCATTATGCTTATCCATGCATCAGTATTTGCAATTCAGATAGATTGTGTTTCAAATCTGAGACTGACCACAGGTTTGCGTTATCAGCCTTTTAAATACCCAAATTTTCAATAGGAACTTGAATTGTGAGAAAATTTTGGAGAACTTTTCGATAAAATTTCGATGCAAAAAATGCAATGCAATATGCTAACCATGTACATTAACGATGCGTGATAAATGTCTGGAGATTACAACGGCAGCAAGTTTCGAGCGGATATACGCATTAAAACCATCATAGCATTCACATTCGAAATTCAGACTATCCAATGGCAATTGACGGTGCAGTGAATGAACCAAACTTAACACCAAAGTATTACTAATCATTCATCGTCAGTACACAATCTATATAGGTAACAACAATATTGATAATCTCTAATAATACCCATGACAATAACATTAATAAGAATATCTGTAATATAAATGCAAAAAATTAAACTTTGAGTAACCAAGTGCAAAACGAACCTACTTGTGTTGATAATTCTCGCACCTTTAGTGGCTCGTAATCGAGGTAACAACAGCATCGTTAATAAGAAATGTCCGAAATAATTGGATACCATCACTTCTTCAAGATTGTCCTCAGTCAACGATGCTTCATGTCCCTCATTGCTACCCTGGAACTAGCAAATGATTTCCCAAATAATAATAATAGTAATAACGATAACAATAATAATAGTAACAATAGTGATAATATAATGATAAGCATTAATAATAATGATAATAGCAATAGCAATACATCATCAATTTTACTACTGTAGTTAATGAGTGGCAAGAATAACATAACACTTTCAGAGGAATCGTTCTGACTTGTCAAAATGATACCATAATGAAGTGAAATTTGCAAAAGCAACACATGTAATAATAATAATACACCCACCCATATTATTGCTTGAATAGATCATAAGTACATATGCAGTAAGGAATAAGAGATAAAAGAACCTACAATAGCTGCATTGTTGATAAGAACGTTTATGAATGGTTGAGTATTGTTGATAATACGGGCACAAAGGCGCACATTTTTGAATGAGCACAAATCAAGTGGTATTAGGCGGATGCTGCCTCGAGAATTGGGATAAGAGTCGCGGATTGTTTCGATACACTTCAAACCTTTTTCGACATTGCGGATCAACATGATGACACTTCCATCATGCCCATATAACTCTTTCGCGATCTCATGACCAATCCCTTAAATACCTAACAAATAATGTGCCAATGAGACAGATATTGATGGTGTCTAGCTTGTGGTACGAAGGTGGATTGATAATAGATGAACGGTCAGGTCGTTTGTCTAAACGAATCAATACTTCTTCTTATACCGAAACAACTATTAGATAAACCTGAGACCAGACAGTTGTAAATAGCTGAAGTAATAAGCAAATGATTTAATTAAGCTACCTGATGTAGAACCAGTAATAAGATATACTTTTCCTTGAAGCGATTCTTCAAAAATGCATTTTCCATTGGTCAGCTTATACCATAGTCTTATAGAGCACCATGAAACGATCAGCAGTAATAACAGAACCCCTGTGTACGTTGAACATAACGTGTTACTCACCTTAAACTATTTATTCAGTGCTTATTAGTCAAATGATATAGTTCAATTACATCAGACTTGTTGAATGCACTTTTTGAATGGAGAACTCAGTCACTCTAATTCACAAGGCTGCAGTGACCTCAAGCGCTGCTTTTGAACCTGAATAAATAAGCGCTAGGGTAAAAAGCAGGCGTCAAGCTCCTCGTTCAAGTGTACAGTTCATTTGAGATGTGATCATACCCACAGTTATCATATCGCCTTAAATGACAAAAAAAAACCGCTAGTGCGACAGCTTGGTCTAAGAACAGGTTGACATTTTGATGAGCCTTAGTCCTAACTCAACCATCACCTCGGACTTGCAGTTTGACAGTCTGAGTGCGGGCATTGCTACCCTATGATATAGGAATGCAAAACTTGCAAGCGTTACAATAAAAACAAGATGTATTTATCGATCACCTATCAGCCATCGGTCAATCATTGAATTATCACTCGAATGAATCAACACTATGACTTTGAATCAAGTAAATATTCAGAACTTAACTTACACCATCAAAATACAGCAAATTATATGCGTACTGCAGTAGAGTAGTAGTACCCTTTTGGTTGGAATTTGACGACAATGGTGGTGTTGCTGTAGCTGATGAACATGACACTGAAACACATGAGCTTTCGAACTATAAACTTTTGCAGTCGTCTCGGAACAGTTTAACTGATTCCGAAATATTTTAATATTTTTCATTGTCATTCATTCAGTTATTGGCTCCAGCAATTACCTAATATTTTCTTATTGTACTTGTCTGAACAGAAGCCTGAAGAGTTGATTTTTTGCGATCATTTGAAATGGAGCTTCTATTCAAAGTGACTCAAGCTTGTAAACAAGGAAATGCGATGCATATTTGGACAAATGCACTCAATTCCATCAAATGAAAGAAACCACTGAACGTACTGAGCGATGAAAGTGACAACTAACTGATCAAGATTGCAGATCAAATAATCTTCAATAAAATATTTTGTGAGATTACAAGAGCACTTTAGCCGTTTATGATGAATCGAATACGAGGTAGATGTACAGTCTCAATTGGACGGATACTTTAGCAGCAAAGTGAATAAACGAATAACGAACGTGTTCCATCTTTGTTCAGTTCCTTATACTGCTTTTATACAAGAAATTTAATGGAAATGATGAGAAATTAATAAATTAAATAGTGGTGAGAACAATAATAATAATAACAATAATAATAATAACAATAATAATAATAATAATAATAATAATAATAATAATAATAATAATAATAATAATAATAATAATAATAA